GGCATAAAGACTTAGTCCAGATTCTACCAGGGCTGTCTGACGATCTGTGATGGACTGGATGCCATCCATATGGTACTACTGAAGAGTCCCACGTGAAAGACTAAATCATCATAGGCATAATTTATACAGAGGCAAGTAAAGTTGCTAGTACACTTTTTAAGTGTATTTATTTAGAGAGAGAGAGAGAGAGAGAGAGAGAGAGCACGAGCAGAGGAGGGGCAGAAACAGAGAGAGAGAGAGAGAGAGAGAGAGAGAGAGAGAATCCCAAGCAGGCTCTGCACTGCCAGCACAGAGCCCGACACGGGGCTCAAACTCATGAACCTGTGAAATCATGACCTGAGCTGAAAGCCAGAGTCAGCTGCTTAACCGATTGAGCCACCCAGGCACCCCAAATTGCTAGTACATTTTAAAGTTTTCCCACATTAGGGGTTAAAATCTTTTCAGGAAAACAGATTCAATTAAACATGCAACACCCCAAAACAGTGTGACAAACTAAGGTTTTAAGCATCAAAGTATACGACAACATTTCTAAAGTATGCTCGCCAGTTGGAGGGGAGACTTTAAGATAGGTCTGCAGCCAAGCAAGTAGAAGCTGCTGGTATACTGCGATCTTTCTCCCTCCATAATGCGTAAATCAAGTTAAATTCCCTAAGTACTACAATAAATACACCTATTAACTTTGTTTGACCAAGTGCTTCTCAAATATATTTGATCAGGGGGGCGCCTGGGTGGCGCAATCGGTTAAGCGTCCGACTTCAGCCAGGTCACGATCTCGCGGTCCGTGAGTTCGAGCCCCGCGTCGGGCTCTGGGCTGATGGCTCAGAGCCTGGAGCCTGTTTCCGATTCTGTGTCTCCCTCTCTCTCTGCCCCTCCCCCGTTCATGCTCTGTCTCTCTCTGTCCCAAAAATAAATAAACGTTGAAAAAAAATTTTTTTTTTAAAAATATATTTGATCAGGGAACCCTTTTTATTATGACATCTGTATCCTAAGTAAATGATGTTCTAAGGGACATACTTTGAGAAATGCTACATGGCAAATAAATACTGCAGTTTGAGTTGAAAATAGTTGTGATCTGTTTGTGTCTCTAAAGAAATTAGTAAGTGATACATTACTTCTCAAATGCCCTTGGTATAGAATGAGTTATTCTGTACTGTATTAAGTGCAGAAATCTCATCTACCTTTTTTACATACCATGCTGATGCAGAAATGTGAAAATGCTACAACATGTTACCATAGTACTGAAAACACGTACCATAACAATCCCATTTCAAAGCATCTTACAGAGGATGAGAAAATGTCAATATATAAAGAACGACTCTGGAAAGGTGAGAAATTACCAAGTTCTCTCTGGTCTCTTAGAGGAGTCCTTGGAACTGCCCGAAGGAGGGGGGGGGGGGGGGGGGGTCCTCCCCAAATGACTGAGTCAATTTAGCTCACTCTCTTCAGGCCCCTTGACCAGCCGGTGTCTAGTGTAGATATAGGAGCTCACCAGGCTCTCCCCTGCAGAGTTGATGCCCCCCTCTGGAGACAGTCCCTCCCCCACCCAACACAGCTGCCACCTTCCTCCCCCTGGGCCAGCTCCACCAAAAATTACATTTTTCATGGCACAGGTATGTGTCAAAGGTGGAGGAGCAAAGGAGTCCCTAGTCTACTACAAGAAGTGTATAAAAGTAGGGGGTGGGGATGGTGGACATACAGGTTTCTAATATCTGAGTTGGCTGAAATTTGGAATGAGTTTTTCATGAGAAGCAATAGTGTGAGTGATAAATAGGTTATCTAGGTATGCAGTCAAGCTCTATCATTGTTAGGTCATTTTGAGGGAAGTATTATGAAAATATATTACCATTTATAACATTTTCCCAAAAAACAAAAAAGCATTTTTTAAAAAACTTACATCCAAGTTAGCATATAGTGTACCAATGATTTCAGGAGTAGATTCCTTAATGCCCCTGACCCATTTGGCCCAGCCCCCCTCCCACAACCCCTCCAGTAACCCTCTGTTTGTTCTCCATATTCAAGAGTCTCTTATGTTTTGTCCCTCTCCCTGTTTTTATATTATTTTTGCTTCCTTTCCTTCATGTTCCTCTGTTTTGTATCTTAAATTCCTCATATGAGTGAAGTCATATGATATTTGTCTTTCTCTAATTTCACTTACCATAGTACGCTCTAGTTCCATCCACATAATTGCAAATGGCAAGATTTCATTCTTTTTGATTGCTAATACTCCACTGTGTGTGTGTGTGTGTGTGTGTGTATACACACATATACATATATATGTATGTATGTGTGTGTGTGTGTGTGTGTGTGTATATATATATCTACCACATCTTCTTTATCCATTCATCCATCAATGGACATTTGGGCTCTTGCCATACTTCAGCTATTGTTGCTAGTGCTGCTATAAATATTGGGGTGCATGTGCCCCTTCGAAACAGCATACCTGTATCCCTTTTTTAACGTTTTTAATTTTTTGAGGAACCTCCATACTAATTTCTAGAGTGGCTGCCCTAGCTTGCATTCCCACCAACAATGCAAAAGAGATCCTCTTTCTCCGCATCCTCACCAACATCTGTCATTGCCTGAGTTGTTAATGTTAGCCATTCTGACAGGTGTGAGGTGGTATCTCGTGGTTTTGATTTGTATTTCCCCGATGGTGAGTGATGTGGAGCATTTTTTCATGTGTCGGTTGGCCATCTGGATGTCTTCTTTGGAGAAGTGTCTCTTCATGTCTTTTGCCCATTTCTCCACTGGATTATTTGTTTTTTGGGTGTTGAGTTTGATAAGTTCTTTATAGATTTTGGATACTAACCCTTTATCTGGTATGTCGTTTGCAAATATCTTCTCCCATTCTGTTGGTTGCCTTTCAGTTTTGCTGATTGTTTCCTTCGGTGTGCAGAAGCTTTTAATATTGATGAGGTCCCAATAGTTCATTTTTGCTTTTGTTTCCCTTGCCTCCGGAGACGTGTTAAGAAGTTGCTGTGGCCAAGGCCAAAGAGGTTTTTGCCTGCTTTCTCCTCGAGGGTTTTGATCGCTTCCTGTCTTACATTGAGGTCTTTCATCCATTTTTAGTTTATTTTTGTGTGTGTTGTAAGAAGGTGGTCCAGGTTCACTTTTCTGCGTGTTTTCCCAGCACCACTTGCTGAAGAGACTGTCTTGATTCCATTGGCTATTCTGTCCTGCTTTGTCAAAGATTAGTTGGCCATATGTTTGTGGGTCCATTTCTGGGTTCTCTATTCTGTTCCATTGATCTGAGTGTCTGTTTTTGTGCCAAGACATTTGTGTTCTAAATAGTGCATACTAAATATAATAATACAGAGAATTAAAACATTGGTTAATTATGAATGGACTGCAGGTAGCTTCCTAAATCCTTAGAGTATCCTCCAAGGTTTATCCACGGTCCACGTGACATACCATGGCTTTTTTCTTCAGTATTTTCTCAACCTGATATGCTGCCTTTAATTCCTATAGCAATTCCTAATTTAAGCAAATGCTAACTAGGAAATGTCTTAAGTTTGATTTGGAAATCTGGTGTTAATAGTTAGAATGAAAAAGTAAATGACTTAAACAGAAATACATTTAAATAATATTTATTTTTTCTGTTATTCAATGTAAAAATATGCATTTCAAAACGCTAAGATATTTGATAAGATGCACAACAGAAAAGGCCTGTCTAGATATCTGTTCCCCAAAGTCTGAGGGGTCCAGGTAACAGTGCGGCAAGGCGAGCCCACGGCTGCAAGTACACATCACTCTTTTGTCAGCTCACATGGACTCAGGACAACATGAAGACGTGCTTCAAAGAGCAAAATAAAGGCAAATCGCTGAGCACCTTTTACAATGTCATAATAAAATATTCATTAATTCCTCTGTGTGGAAATCTGGGAAAAGATGGAAGGTAAAACTAGGCATAAAAGGAGTTAAATGGTGTTTATAAAGTCGGTTTTCGCTGACTTGTGAAAAAACCGATTAAAAATCCTGAGGCAACGTGAAAGTTCACGGGTTCCGTACCTACCAATACCATCATCCGTTACAGCAGCTGCTTAGTTGTCCAGCAAGATTTTATATCAGACACGGATGCAAGGGGCCTTACACTGAAATCTACGTCTCTTTCTTTCCTTGTACCATAGTGCTGTCACTGGTACGTGAAGTACTATCACGACTTATTACCGCACTTCATTGTAAGCAGAAAGTAAGAAAGTGCGTTTTGCCAAACTGCTTTCTGAATCTTCTAAATTGTATTTGTTCACTCACCGGCCAATTTAAAAAACATAGTAGTTTGTAGGGGGCTTCCTGGTCATTAGTGTGAACTAGTAATGCAGTAATTTAACTCAAAAGGAATTCTTTAAAAGTGGGACTCAGACTAGCAAAGCTTAGCATCAGCCAAAATCTACCGGCACGCCATGGGCTAAAGGCCAAGTCTACAGTGATGCATAAAGGTCACTTTGTGAAAAACCTAAGTAAAAATTACTCTCAAACTATTCTGCCCATTAGAATTAGTTTACAAATGGAAATTTAAATTTAGTGAGAGGACTCTAAGCCTTTGGGCTAGAATCTTCCAACCAGAAAGATAAGCAATTTTAACACTGATTCCTATGATATGGTCAGAAAGTTTAACCACTGACTTAAAGAATTCTGTTGAAACAATATGTGATAAAAGCTATGCGGGTAACAGATACTGAGTCTACAAGTAAAAATTGATCCTTTAAAAATTTTTCCCTGGGCGCCTGGGTGGCGCAGTCGGTTAAGCGTCCGACTTCAGCCAGGTCACGATCTCGCGGTCCGTGAGTTCGAGCCCCGCATCAGGCTCTGGGCTGATGGCTCAGAGCCTGGAGCCTGTTTCCGATTCTGTGTCTCCCACTCTCTCTGCCCCTCCCCCGTTCATGCTCTGTCTCTCTGTCCCAAAAATAAATAAACGTTGAAAAAAAAAAAAAATTAAAAAAAAAAAATTTTTTTTCCCTGAATCAGACACAAACAAGTATTTTCTACCTTTCTATCTACAGAAATTCCAATGGGAATCCAGAAATGGAAAAAAAAAAAAAAAAAAACAAAAGAAAAAAAAAAGGGACGGTCAACCTGCACCTGGCTGGGACACTATGAAAACCCTGAAGAGCACTAAGAAGACAGTGTCGCTACGCTCCGAGGGAAGATGGCAAACGCCTGCCAACACTGTTTCTACTGAAGCTTCGGTAAGGAACAGATCCTGATTCTAGCGTTATCATTCCTTGCAAAACCAGGGCTGAGCGCTGATATTTGTGGTGCAGCCGGGTGACCTGCTCCAAGCTCAGCCAGTGCTGACTGTGGAGGTGAGCAGCACCGCCCCCATGGGAGCACATTCTCGGCCGCATCTAGGGGACGCTGCGCGGTTGCTGATCCGACTGTTCCAGGTGCTCTAAAAGCTCGGTGAGAGGGGCCGACAGCTAAAGGAAGAAACTGAAAATGGAGAAAGTCCGCGATGCCCTTCCACAGACAGAACCACTATTTCACACACACAGAAACTCAAGAAAATGGAAGCTCCTTTATTGCAGATAACCTGTAAACTCAGAATTCGCATGTCTTTTTCTCTGTAGGAGCAGAATATGCTGTATATCAATGTCCGTTTTCTTACTGAATCCTTGATAAGAGTTTAGTGTAAAAGGAGAATGGGAAGCAGGATCCAGATGTTGAATTGATGGCTTGGGCAACATCATATGAGGTGGCTTTTGGGGTTGCCACAGAGTCTGAGTTTCTTTGTCGTGAGCAGGTGGGCCAGGCCATTGAGAAACACCAGAACGATGGTCATGGACATGACAATCACGTAGTGGCTGATGCTACAGAAAGAGAAAAAGAAACATGTTATAGGAAGACACAACACACATGGGAAAGAGCAGGAGAGCTCTCTAAATAACGTTTCTAAATGTATACATAAAATACACAGAATTACAAAAGATACCAGTGATGGTTCTTAAGTTTATCTATATATTTATTTTTAGTACTCTCTACACCCAGCTCATAACCCCGAGAGCAAGAGTCACATGCTCTTTGAACTGAGCCAGTCAGGTACCCCGATGATCTGGAAATAGGTATCAAAACGTTGAAAAGCAAATTTGTCACAGAAGCAGTGATGAGCACAAATATTTTGAGGTATGTCCAATAACTGCAAAGTGTTATGAAAATGTCTGATTGGTATTGGCACTGCCTGTGTCTTTGTCACCAATAGAAACTGAATTTCAAAATCCAGCTTTTAGAAACAAAGACAATTTTCTGCCTCTAATTCTTGCTCCCTCTGAATAATATCCACAGACTCCCCAAGATATCCCCAGGTTTAGTAGTTTGGCATTTTAGAGCACACCATTCTGTGCTTTGATGGAAGTTAGAAGTACTTCAGCAAAACTACCAGCTACCCCCCCCCCCCCCAAAACGTTACCCAAATTCAAATTCAGGGAAGTAAATGTTTCAGTCAAGGAATCTAAACAAAGGAAAAAGGATACATTTCTTTATGAATCTCTAAGTCAAAGCTACTATCTCCCAGATTCTGCTTTTTTAGACCTTTTATCACTTTTTAACACTTTAAATTATTTTAAATACTTTTAATATTTTAAATTTTTTAAAAAGCTTATTTATTTATTTTGAGAAAGAGGGAGAAGAGAGCACGCACGTGAGCGGGCTAAGAGCGTGGAGCCCCACTTGGGGCTCGATCCCACAAACCGTGAGATCATGACCTGAGCCAAAAGCAAGAGTTGGACCCTTAGCTGACTGAGCCGCCCAGGTGCTCCTAAATTACTTTAAAACAAATACGTATTAAATATGACTTGGTTTCTTAACAAGGTAAGTTTCATGACACCAGTAGATAGGTGACTATCCGTAAATTTAATGGAAGTCTATTTATAAGAGGTATTTTATAGATCACTTAGCTCCTTCGAGTGGCCTGAAATCACAAACTTTGGGCCCATTTAAGCTAACATTATTGGCAGGAAACAGTCGTGAAGCTCATCACCTTCATGCAATTGAGCCATAAGGCATTCAGCTTGTGATATTTTCCATCAATCAGGTCTTGGTATCATCTCAGCACACCAGAGTTAAAGCAGCATTCAATTTCAACTGTAAATGAGTTTGGCTGTTCCCAGTCTCTCACCTTGACTATTCTGACATCATTTAAATCAGCAATTCTCAAGGTGTACATGTGTGATTGGTAGAGGGACAGGGTGTCTGTGTGGAGGGGCATATAGAATCACCAGGAAGGCCTATTCAGCCTGTACAAGGGGTGATAGATAAAAGGTTGATTGTGCTTTTCAATCAGGGTAAGGGGCAACGGAAGCAGTTCAAATCTGTCGGATGTACTGGAGAAGACAAGTTTGAGAATCACTGATTTTTAATGAAGCTTAGTATTCATTATAAGAGTAAAGATATTTTATCACACTTATTAGTGATATTTCGGAGGATATTAAAATAGTATCGAACACAATGAGAAGTTATCATTATATCTAAAGAGAAATGACACTTGAGTTGCCATCTGTATTTTTGTTCAATTTTTTAATGTTTTTATTTATTTTTGAAAGAGAGAGAGACACACACACACAGAGTTCAAGCTGGGGAGGGGCAGAGAGAGAGGCGGAGACACAGAATCAGAAGCAAGCTCCAGGCTCTGAGCTGTCAGCACAGAGCCCGATGTGGGGCTTGAACTCACGAACCGTGAGTTCATGACCTTAGCAGAAGTTGGGCGTTTAACCGACTGAGCCACCCAGGCGCCCGTCATCATCTGTATTTTAATAAAGTATAACAACAGTGCATGCAGGAAACAACTCCAAACGAACACCACTATCAAATCAAACCAATCAAACCGATGATCCTGCCTCTATTCACTTCACACCAAACACATTTAGAACATAAATTTAAATATGTTTTTATAGTTATGAAAATGACCTCAAAGGACGTTTTCTCTAGTTTTAAGAAATGCACTTCTTTCAGTACACCATATAAAAGGCAGTACTCTGTTCAGTTTATGACCTGCTATGAATGAAGATACAGTAGAAAAGATCAAAAGAAGAAAATACTACATTGCAGCTCTGTCAGCCCAGCTCAGTTTTATGGCCTGGGCAGAATATTTTTCACATGGCTGTTAAAAGAACACCTGATGCCACAAGGTCCTCCAGAGAACCACAGGCTCAGCTGACTACACTGGCTGGAGTAGATTCCTGTAAGATTCTCAATTTAACTCTGATAAAATCTGCTCAGAAGATGCATTTTGAAACATATTGGCCGATACGCATAAACGCAAATACCGTCTCAGGCCCTAACAATACAATCTTTACTTTTTTTTAAGTTTATTTGAGAGACAGACAGAGAATCGCCAGCAGGTTCCACACTGTAGGTACCGAGCCTAATATGGGGCTCGAACTCACGAACTGCGAGATCACAACCTGAGCCGACATCAAGAGTCAGGCACTTAAACTGAGTGAGCCACTCAGGCATCCCAACACAATCTTTATTTATTTATTTTTATTTGTTTTTAAAAGTTTTAAAAAATTTTATTTATTTTGAGAGTGAGGGAGAGAGAGAGACAGAGAAGGAGAGAGAGAATCCCAAGCAGGCTCCACACCGTAGGTGCGGAACCTGATGCAGGACTCAAACTCACGAACTAAGAGATCATGACTTGAGCCGAAATCCAGAGTCAGACACTTAACCAACTGAGACGCCCAGGCGCCCCTACAATCTTTATTTTTAAAGAAACTATTACTTATTTGTTAACCTGAAACTAATTGCTGAGGAATCTCGCAAACCTATTTTGAAAACCCACCGCAATCGCCACACTGACACTATGACCATCGTAACCGCACGCAGGCCACATTCGCAGGGCTGGTGAGCTCCCAGTCCCCTCGAGAATCCTGGGACACAGTCTCACCTTTTCTGTGTTCATAAAGCAATCACTTAGTAAGGACAAAAGGACATTCCATCCCTGTGTATAACAGGCATATTAGAGCTGGAGTTATTAACTGTATTACTAATAAAAAGGAGTTTAGAAGTAAAATTAGTCACAAAGGAAAACTACCCCAGGAGCATAATTCAAATAACTCGGGCCTGGTAAGGAAACGCTGCCAATAAGTTTAGTAACATCTGCAACGTGATAAGAAACAACTCAGCTTTTCATATATACGTTCACACAGGAAAAATGAGAAACCCAAAACTTAAAAAGCAACTTTCTCACAAACAGAATGCAGGAAAAAGTACAACAATGAGCTTTTGATACGTGAACCTGATTGTATGGTGCTTGAGCTCGGTCTCTTGAAGCCTCTTTTCCAGCCATTATCCAAGCCTCTTCCTCGCAATAAATTAGATGCCGGGGCGCCTGCGTGGCTCAGTCGGTTAGGCGTCCGACTTCAGCTCAGCTCCTGATCTCACGGCTTGTGGGTTCGAGCCCCGCGTCAGGCTCTGTGCTGACAGCTCAGAGCCTGGAGCCTGCTTTGGATTCTGTGTCTCCCTCGCTCTCTGCCCCTCCCCACTCTCTCTCTCTCTCAAAAATAAATAAACATTAAAAAAAATTAAAAAAGAAATTGGATGCCGACAAAGATGCATGAAGCAACTCCTGCCCACCAGAGCCTGAACCACACGGCTCGCCGAGGCAGAGCGTGCTGTTACCGCTACACAGGACACCAAGAGAAGATGACAGAATTCTAACTTGTCAACAGGCGAAGCGGCAAAACAAAATCGCCCCGCTACAGCCCCAGTCCGGGTGATTCCATTAGAAAGCCTAATTTCTCTAACTCAGATTTCAGTTTGTTTCTCCATCCCAACCCCTGCCACCCCCCACGCCCCTCTGCAACCATCTTCCTTCCTTATGAGGGCATGTTTTGGACATGATAATATGGGACAAAGAAGACGAGCAGAGCAGAGCAAGGGGTGACCGGGAGAGTGTGTGGGACTTATGAGGCACTGCCTTCAGCCTGATGAAGAGAACCGAGCTCTGAAGTCTCCTATTTCACCCGCCTTCGAGAAGTCTCTCAGGGCAAGCACCCCATTTCACCGAAGGGAGTTAGATCTGTGAGGGCAAAGCCCTGAGACGGAGCTGAAGTGCGGTTTAACCTAACTTAACTAACTGCCTATGCCTTTATCACCTTTCCATCCCCTCTGGATTTTAACGCTCTATCGATGAGGGTGTAATGATTATACCAGGACACCAGACATAAACCAGGACCCTTCCAGATAAACCTGTCCATGTGGTCACCATATGTGAAGGGCAGCTCCCATTACAAAAAAATACTATTAGCACAAAATATTTCTACAGCGTAGTTTTTAACCCTCTATAGCATTAACCAATTATATAATATTTTCATAAATATCATAAGTAAATTATAGCATGAAACATGGAGTTAACATCCTTTTCTCCCGGCTAGCCCTGCAGAGTGGGTGGGGGTCATCAAAGCGTTCCTGACCTGTGGGTGCTAATGCACCATTCTGTTTCCCTTGGTGTGAATGATGCTCAATGCTTGTCTTATGCGTCTATAGTCTCTCTTTCTGCAATTATCTTGTGCTCTGATGAACACTTTATTCCCATGATGGTTGTGTAAAGGAATGCGGGAAACAGGCCTGGAGGTACCATGCAAGTGCCAGGGAGAACGTCATGCTAGATGTTAAGTACAAGTTTTGCAATGGCTCAAAGACTCTGAAAAAAGATCACGCAAGCACAGGTAACAAAAATAGACAAATTGGACTGCGTAAAAATTGAAAACTTTTGTGCCTCAAAGGGCAGACTCAACTACTTTTGGCTCCTTCCCTCCTCATCGATATTTCTTCCTTCTTTAAATCCTAAATGTACAGTGCTCAAAACTCTGCAGTGAATGGTTCCTTTGCAACAATCACAAACAGGATCAGACACAAAGCCACTTTTAAAAAAGGGCTTAGCAGAGGTACGAAACAAAGGCTTTGGGAAATTCACCGCAAGTAGAGGCAGCGACAGGCAGTGGGGATACTACAGACCACGGCGGCTCGTCCAGTGCCGTCCTGCGGACCTGTGCAGCCTTCTCTACAAGTCACAGAAGCAAGTCACAGTCTCCGTAGGGCCACAGTGTCCTCATCTCTAAAATGAAGACAGTAAATACAGCTCCTGTGGAAAATATCTACTTGACAGTGTTGTGGTAAAGATCACATGAAATATCGTGTTAGTAGACACCGTAAACACTGCAGCGCAGCACCAATGCAGGTTATTTGTAGCCGAGGTATGACTGGGGCAATCCTCTGAATGGCATCCTGGACCTCCTACTTAAGTTCCAGCTTCTGTCCTATTTTGCCTTTTACCCACGTAAACCGATTCCCTGGTCTCCGAACTGCCTTCCTCATGTCTTTCAGGACCCCGATCTCAAATAACCAACTACTGGGAGTGCGGTCACTGTGTTGCAGTCCACAGCCATGCTCTGACCTTGTGGGTAAGTCTCGGCCTCTACTCTACTCTGTAAACAAGCTTACTCCATTTGAACCCCAATGCGGGCTCCAGAACCCCAGCTTTGACAATGGGTAATTAGCATTGATGTATCTAGGGACATTCATCCCTTCCGACTATGATATTCCTCATGCTCATGAGTTAAATGAAATGACAATAAAATCTTAGAGAGAAGTGAGGGTATTCCATGTGGTCTCTGCTCCATGTTTCTCCTTTTCTTTCTTTTCTTTTAATTTTCTTGATGTTTGTTTTTGAGAGAGAGAGAGAGACAAAGTGCATGTCGGGGCGGGCAGAGGGACAGTGAGACATAGAATCCAAAGCAGGCTCCAGGCTCCAAGCTGTCAGCACAGAGCCCGACGCAGGGCCCGGACCCCCGAACCGTGAGATCATGACCTGAGCCCAAGTCGGACGCTTATCCGATTGAGCCACCCAGGAGCCCCTCTCCTTTCCTTTCTAACTGAGCTAGAAAGAGCTCTACACTTATGACTCTATTTCCTGATCTTCCATCTCATTTATCCATTTTCCTTTCCTTTTTATTAGTTATACATGCAGTGCTAAAAACACAAAATAGTGGAGAAAGATTTATAATGAAAACCAACAGTCCTTCTTCCTCCTTACCCGCTTCTCAGGGTGGCTGCTTTGGTCACTTCCCTTTTCAGGTCTCCTGGTGCTTTACCTCCTGAACATGAATGTCTTTATGGTGCTGTTAACTGATACATCGATTTAAAACATTATATATTCAGTCCCTGCTAGGAAAGAGGAGAACTGAGCCTGCTTATACTATAACCCACTCGCTTCAATTTTAGATCTGTTTGCTATTAGCCAGTTTTTCTTTTATTTTTCCTTCTGAGTCAATTTTGACGTATAATTTATATGTAGGAAAATGGAACTAATTTTTAAGTGTCCAGTTAGATGAGCGTTGACAAATGGTGCACCCAGGTGACCATCATCACTGTTAAGGTGCAGAACATTTCCATTACCCCAAAAGTGCCCGCATTCTCTTCTACAGTCAGGCTCACCCTAACTCTCGGTGCTAGAAATGGGTGATGGTGATAATCACATTCCTACACAGTAGGAATGAAGCTAATGCTGCTGGACTGCACACTTAAAAAACATTAAGATGGTAAATCTTATTATCTATATTTTACCACAATTAAAAATAAGATGAAAAGGGGTGCCTGGGTGGCTCAGTTGGTTGAGTGTCCGACCCTTGATTTCGACTCAGGTCATATTCCCAGGATTGTAGGATCGAGCTCTGCATCGGGCTCTGGGCTGAGCATGGTCTGCTTAAAATGCTCTCTTTCCCTCTGCCCCTCTCTCCCTGATCACACACACACACTCTCTTTATAAAAAACAAAAACAAAAACAAAAAACCCCAGAAGTCTCACACAAAAATACTATATTTAACAAGAATATGTTCCAAACAAAATTCTGGCCTATGTCTAAGATGAAAACAAATTAATCAAACTTTGGAGAGTAAAGGGAAGTATGTCAAACACAAGAAGCAGTGTGAAGGATAAAGACTAGAATAACATCAATACTAATAGTTGCCTTTACTGAAGCTTATTAGATGCTGGACACTGTGCTAAATACTCTACATGGAGTAATTCATTCGGACGACTACACAAGACAGGGGAGAGGTGAGAGGGATTAGATCTCTTGCAGATGGTATCTCAGCTAAAATGTGGCAGAAACTGTTCAACCCTAGCTGCCCTGGTCTAAAGCTCATGCTCTGACCCGTTATCTTGTCTGGACACTTTGGGATCAGAGGAGGAGACACCAAAACTTTCCCTAAGCATTCAAGCTTAAGAGCAGTTAAACAAAATGGCCTAGGGAGGACCTTTACATGCCTGGCACACATTGAATGAAAGAGATTCAAATCAGATGAGGCAGGGAGGCAAACACGTCTATGAATAACGAGGCAGTACCGGGAGTGAGCTGCCTAAGAGGTAGGAAGAAAGGAGAGAAGATCTAACAGTCTCACCCAGCACTTGCGTTGCTGGGAATTGTGTAGGCCTGGGTGAGACTGTTAGCATCTGACTCTTGATCTCAGCTCAGGTCATGATCTCACAGTTCGTGGGTTTAAGCCCCATGTCAGGCTCTGTGCTGACAGTGTGGAGCCTGCTTGGGATTCTCTCTCTCCTCCCTTCTCTGTCCCTCCCCCACTCGTGCTCCGACTCTCTTTCTTTCAAAGAGAAGAAATGTAACAGATTAGAGCAATCATTCACAGTCAAATCACAACAAAGAAAAAATAGACTTTTGGTTCAGATTATACTTTAAATAACACTGGTGTATGTTTCCCACATTAAATGTTCTCGTATTAAAGATTCTAAGGGGCAGATAATGATTACATGCAATTGAAACTGCCACATAAACTTCATACTGCAACTGAGTAGCATCATTTCTCTAAAGAGATCGACAGATATGGAGAACACGCAGATTCTGGAAGTGACCTTCTCTGAAAATCCGGTTGGATTCAAGCAGTGTCTCTTGCACCTTCCCTGCTCTCCAGGGTTCCCATCGATCCCTACACTGTCCCAAGAAAATGCTTGCTAACGTGCTAATGCCAAGAATTGGAGAGATGGGTCTCACTTCCAGAGGTTTAAAATAATTGCTACTTGCTATGCTTACCTCAAAACTCAAACTGGCACCTTCTACTAAGGTATCAAGTTCCTTTTTTTTTTTTTTTTTACCGTACTGTTAAGAATTTCTACGTGAATATATACTGCACCTTGTTCCAATATCAAGCCAGCTGCCATAATCCTTGACCAAGAAGAAAAAATGCTGTAAAATAAAACAAAATAGGGCTCCATCAAAAACAAAGGTATTTGGATTCAGCTGAAAAACAATGTTTTAGGATTATGGGTTTCAGATTTCTGACCTCTTATAACCAATATCTAACTAGAAGCTAGAAGAATATGCCCTTTCCAGGAACTTTTCCTTGGACTAAAGCTAGGTATAGCATTACCATTCAAATGAACACAAAAGTGACATTTATGAATAACTAGAAATAAAGATAACTAACTTAATTCTTTTTTCAGTAAGCTCTATGCCTAATGTGGGGCTTGAACTCATGACCCTGAGATCAAGAGTCACAGGCTGTACCAACTAAGCCAGCCAGGTGCCCCAAAGATAACCAATTTTTTTTTTTTAATTTTTTTTTTTCAACGTTTATTTATTTTTGGGACAGGGAGAGACAGAGCATGAACGGGGGAGGGTCAGAGAGAGAGGGAGACAGAGAATCGGAAACAGGCTCCAGGCTCTGAGCCATCAGCCCAGAGCCTGACGCGGGGCTCGAACTCACGGACCGCAAGATCGTGACCCGGCTGAAGTCGGGACGCTTAACCGACTGCGCCGCCCAGGCGCCCCCAAAGATAACCAATTTTAATAAAAGACACTATGTAATACCAAAGACCTATGTGGAAAAAAGCCATAACATCCATTTATCAACAAATATTTATTGGCAGTGTACTATGTGCTAATCACTGTGTTAGGTCCTACAAATAAACTCTCTTGCAGGAGTTGTATAATCTAGTGAATAATTCAATAAAATTATTAGGGGTGTGTGTGTGTGAGAGAGAGAGAGAGAGAGAGAAGGGTGTTATCACTGGAAAACACAGGCAATTATGGGAGCATAGAAGAAGGGGTACATACCCCAGATGGAGTAGAAGGGAAGGCTGTCCCAATGAAAAGTCTATAAATCTAAGTAAAAAGTAATAGTCAGTTGAAAGAGGAGTCTGAGGACATCAGAGAAGTATGTTCCTGCGAGAGGGAATAACCCATATAAATGCCAAGAGTCCAGGCATAGCGTGGCAAGGCCAATGTGAGGCTGGTGTGGAGAAAACACGGTGCAAGGCGATGCAGGTCAAGTAAGCAGAAGTTAGGCCACAAATGGCTTTGTAAGCTAAATTAAGCAATATGACTCTTTATAAAATGAATCAGAATTTAAATTCCCTTCTGTTAACATGTCTTGTTTATTGGCCCCTTTTGAGCAAAATTGAAAGCTGATTTGTCCTGACATTATTATGTGTAATCAATTTCATAAATATATTGGATATCCAGTTCAATAGAACACAAAAATGCTCTCATGTAAATCAAGTGACTAGGAATCTGATTTGGGAAGTTATGCTACTTGGTGTCTCTAATCAGTTCTAGCATAGGATGTTGTATAGTGAAGAATTAGTTTTGCCCAAAGAGAGGTCTGGCCTTTGCCTTCAGTTACTTGGGGTGACATCTAGGCCCATGGGATGTCATGCCTGATGGGTGTATTTGCCTGGAGCCTTAGCCACTGGACAATCTTGTATTGGGGGCTCTGGGCCATGTGGTATCAGTTCCACCTCTAGAAGGGCTGGACGTTAAAGGTCAGCCAGGGGAACAAAATGTGATTGATCCCCATTAAAAAGTTGACACGGGGGCTCTGGTGAGCCTGGTTGGCAGGACTCTCTGTGTACGTCACACATGGATGCTGTCATGACTCCATAAGGACAAGAGGACCAGAGGTCCCCTCCTAGACTCTGCCTTCTGAGTTTTTTCCCTTGGCTAACTTCCATCTGTATCCTTTCCTATAATAAACCATAACTGTGAATATAACAATTTTCAGTGAGTTTCATCCTTCTAGTGAATTATGAAACCTGAGAGCAGTTTTGAGAACCCCCTGAACTTGCAGGTGTAAAGTATGTTCTTCTTGTGAATATACTCCATATGAGAGGCTCGCCTACCTGCTCTTTACTCAGAACTCACTTATTAGAGCCATCAACTTGGTAACATCTTCCAACTTAAAAAGCTCTATTTCCTCTTTCCTTCCTTCCTTTCCTCCCTTCTCTCAATCTGAGAGAAGGGTTAAAATAATCAACATTTCAAGCAGGGAAATGATGTATTACCTATATCTAAAGTTAGCTTTTCCTGTTAACTTCCTATGGAAGGTTCATTTCAGACATAATGCACCATGGAAGACTAGGTATAAAATGACAGATTGAAATAAATCAAGTAGGAAGACTTCTGATACCTTCAGAAGAACACCCTTCCTGCACAAGTCATATAAAAAGAAAGTAATTTATATGTGTAAATT